GCAGCACCCCAGGAAGGCAGCACCACAGGAAGGCAGCACCCCAAAAAGGAAGCACCCCAGGAATGCAGCACCACAGGAAGGCAGCACCCCAGGAAGGCAGCACCACAGGAAGGCAGCATCACAGTAAGGCAGCACCACAGGAAGGCAGCACCACAGGAAGGTAGCACCCCAGGAAGGCAGCACCGCAGGAAGGCAGCACCCCAGGAAGGCAGCACCACAGGAAGGCAGCACCACAGTTAGGCAGCACCACAGGAAGGCAGCACCCCAGGAAGGCAGCACCCCAGGAAGGCAGCACCACAGGAAAGCAGCACCCCAGGAAGGCAGCACCACAGGAAGGCAGCACCACAGGAAGGCAGCACCCCAGGAAGGCAACACCACAGGAAGGCAGCACCACAGGAAAGCAGCACCACAGTAAGGCAGCACCACAGGAAGGCAGCACCACAGGAAGGCAGCACCACAGGAATGCAGCCACCCAGGAAGGCAGCACCACTGGAAGGCAGCACCACAGGAAGGCAGCACCACAGGAAGGCAGCACCCCAGGAAGGCAGCACCACAGTAAGGCAGCACCACAGGAAGGCAGCACCCCAGGAAGGCAGCACCACAGGAAGGCAGCACTACAGTAAGGCAGCACCACAGGAAGGCAGCACCCCAGGAAGGCAACACCACAGGAAGGCAGCAACCCAGGAAGGCAGCAACACAGGAAAGCAGCAACCCAGGAAGGCAGCACCACAGGAAGACAGCACCCCAGGAAGGCAGCACCACAGGAAGGCAGCACCACAGGAAGGCAGCACCACAGGAAGGCAGCACCCCAGGAAGGCAGCACCCCAGGAAGGCAGCACCCCAGGAAGGCAGCACCACAGGATGGCAACACCCCAGGAAGGCAGCACCACAGGAAGGCACCACCCCCAGGAAGGCAGCACCACAAGAAGGCAGCACCCTAGGAAGGTAGTACCACAGGAAGGCAGCACCACAGGAAGGCAGCACCACAGGAAGGTAGCACCACAGGAAGGCAGCACCCCAGGAAGGCAGCAAACCAGGAAGACAGCAGCCCAGGAAGGCAGCACCACAGGAAGGCAGCACCTCACGAAGGCAGCACCACAGGAAGACAGCACCACAGGAAGGCTGCACCCCAGGAAGGCAGTACCACAGGAAGGCAGCTCCACAGGAAGGCAGTACCACAGGAAGGCAGCACCCCAGGAAGGCAGCACCACAGGAAGGCAGCACCAAAGGAAGGCAGCACCACAGGAAGGCAGCACCACAGGAAGGTAGCACCACAGGAAGGCAGCACCCCTGGAAGGCAGCAAACCAGGAAGGCAGCACCACAGGAAGGTAGCACCACAGGAAGGCAGCACCCCTGGAAGGCAGCAAACCAGGAAGACAGCAGCCCAGGAAGGCAGCACCACAGGAAGGCAGCACCCCAGGAAGGCAGCACCACAGGAAGGCAGCACCACAGGAAGGCAGCACCTCAGGAAGGCAGCACCACAGTAAGGCAGCACCACAGGAAGGCAGCACCCCAGGAAGGCTACACCACAGGAAGGCAGCAACCCAGGAAGGCAGCAACACAGGAAGGCAGCAACCCAGGAAGGCAGCACCACAGGAAGACAGCACCCCAGGAAGGCAGCACCACAGGAAGGCAGCACCATAGGAAGGCAGCACCACAGGAAGGAAGCACCCCAGGAAGGCAGCACCACAGGAAGGCAGCACCACAGTAAGGCAGCACCACAGGAAGGCAGAATACAGGTGTGTGGGAAAGATGAAGTCACATGTCTGAGAATATCCATGGTGTGTAGGCGCTCAGGTGTGCCAGGCTGGCACACCTGAGCGCCTACACACCTCCACACACCTGCGTCCCGGCACATGCAGGAACGAGTCATTACCCAGAAGATGGCAATAATCCGGGAAGACACCGTAGCACCGTACGTGTAGGAACAGTGAACAGTGTAGAGGAGGGTTGTGGCATTCTGCAGTGAATTATTGAGCAGGAAAAGTATCGCTCCATCAACGCTGTTTAAGGCAAGAACACTGTGTTTGGTGTCTTGGGGGCTAAACCTATTTGTGAGGGAGAGTGTGTGTGTGTCTTAAGAAGCTAGAGGAGAGAGGAGAGAGGGAGAGAGGTGAGGGAGAGGTGAGGGCTGCAAGTGACATCTCTCACCACCACTCCTGCCGCTACAAAACCACCATTAACACAATCTGGGGGAGTGGGGGTAGGGGTGAGTGACAGGGCCTGCTTGGATGGCTCCTGGACTATGAGGAGGCAGCCATCTGGTGGGTTATCTGTTAATGTTTGCCTGTTAGTGACTACGGGAGCGGGATCCAGCCTTTAATGCCCCTCCAACCGTTTATATGTGTGTGTGTGTGTGTGTGTGTGTGTGTGTGTGTGTGTGTGTGTGTGTGTGTGTGTGTGTGTGTGTGTGTGTGTGTGTGTGTGTGTGTGTGTGTGTGTGTGTGTGTGTGTGTGTGTGTGTGTGTGTGTGTGTGTACTCACCTAGTAATACTTGCGAGGTTGAGCTTTGGCTCTTCGGTCCACGCCTCTCAATCGTCTATCTATTGGTGTACAGATTCCTGAGCTTCTCGAGCTCTGTAATATCTACATTTGAAACTGTGAATGTAGTCAGCTTCCACCACAGCCTCCACCACGTGTGTATGTGTGTGTGTGTGTATGTGTGTGTGTGTGTGTGTGTGTGTGTGTGTGTGTGTGTGTGTGTGTGTGTGTGTGTGTGTGTGTGTGTGTGTGTGTGTGTGTGTGTGTGTGTGTGTGTGTGTGTGTGTGTGTGTGTGTGTGTGTGTGTGTGTGTGTGTGTGTGTGTGTGTGTGTGTGTGTGTGTGTGTGTGTGTGTGTGTGTGTGTGTGTGTGTGTGTGTGTGTGTGTGTGTGTGTGTGTGTGTGTGTGTGTGTGTGTGTGTGTGTGTGTGTGTGTGTGTGTGTGTGTGTGTGTGTGTGTGTGTGTGTGTGTGTGTGTGTGTGTGTGTGTGTGTGTGTGTGTGTGTGTGTGTGTGTGTGTGTGTGTGTGTGTGTGTGTGTGCGCGCGCGCTTCAACTTGTGGGTTCGTTCCGACAGCCTCCAGTCGTCTGTTGTGTTTATTACATAAACTCTTAGTTTCTGTTGAATTTAATTATAAATCCACGTGGAGAGATTTTTTCTAAATTATTTCATTCAAGGTCATTCCTCTTTTTCACTCCCTTGAAACTGTAAACTGTTTTTACCAAATATTCCTTGCGACCTATTTGAGGACCTAAGTTTCGGTCCCTACTATCTTATTCACTTTATCTCTGTCTACCCTATCAACTACTTTGAGTGTTTAATACGTGGGGATCATGTCTACTTTGTTTTTTCCCTATTTGTTGTTTGATGAGTCACGGGCTAGATGTCACGGGACTTGAGACCTCCTTTACCAAGCACCAATCTTCATCACCTTACATTTGCCCAAGTTGAACTCTAGTAGCCACCTTTCAGAAACTTTTTGTAGTTTGTTCACATATATGAGGAACAGGAAGCGCGCCAGAGAAGGCGACCAACACCGACTCGCCTGGACAAAACCAAACAAGTTCCTGTACCATTAAAGCGTGACTTCCGACATCCTGTATCTCTGTATCCTGTGACTGTATCTCCCTGTGCTTCCCTGTATCTTCCTGCCTGAACTATACTCCTCTATCTCTTGTATCCCACTGTATTACTCTGTATCCCCCTGTATCTTTGTATCTCACGATAATACTTTGTATCCCCCTGTATCTCTTTGTCCCCCCTGTATGTTCGCTGTATTACATTTGTACATCCCTGAATGTCCTGCATTCTCTCTGTACCTCCCCGTATTTCCCACATACTGATATGTAACTCCTACTGAAATTAAGGTGTAATTACCATAAATAATTATAATAATAATTATAATATTTATCAATAATAATACAAATAATTACCACAGAAAAAATAAATACTAATGCATGTAATACCAAATACTAATGTTAAGTTAAAGAGAGATGCCAAGGGTGAGCCCATCTAAGATGTTTGTTTACTAGGCCAGAGTGCGTGAGTGAAGTTTTAAAGAGTGCTGAGCACCTTACAGGATCACGGAGGCTGAATATCTGAGTGGAACCAGTAGCAACCGCACGCCCGCCGGTCACCACGCCCATCAGTCATCACGCCCATCGGCTCCCACGCCCGCAAAACGGCTCCCAGTAACCGGTACCAGAGTGTCGGGCGGCGGGAGCAATGTCGGGCGATAATCAAGGGTATGGGAGCGTAGAATGTTCCTGAGCGGCGCCATGTTGAGACTGGTGTACACCGGCCGCCTCCTCACAAGCCTTCAGCCTCTGTTGGTGCACTCGTGCTCTCTGTTGGTGCACTCGTGCTCTCTGTTGGTGCACTCGTGCTCTCTGTTGGTGCACTCGTGCTCTCTGTTGGTGCACTCGTGCTCTCTGTTGCTGCACTCCTGCTCTCTGCTGCTGCACTCGTGCTCTCTGTTGGTGCACTCGTGTTCTCTGTTGGTGCACTCGTGCTCTCTGTTGGTGCACTCGTGTTCTCTGTTGGTGCACTCGTGCTCTCTGTTGGTGCACTCGTGCTTTCTGCTATTGCACTCATGCTCTCGGCTGCTGCACTCGTGCACTGTTGGTGCACTTGTGCTCTCTGTTGCTGCACTCGTGCACTGTTGCTGCACTCGTGCTCTCTGTTGCTGCACTCGTGCTCTCTGCTGGTGCACTCGTGCTCTCTGTTGGTGCACTCGTGCTCTCTGTTGGTGCACTCGTGCTCTCTGTTGGTGAACTCGTGCTCTCTGCTGCTGCACTCATGCTCTCTGCTGCTGCACTCGTGCACTGTTGGTGCACTTGTGCTCTCTGTTGCTGCACTCGTGCACTGTTGCTGCACTCGTGCTCTCTGTTGCTGCACTCGTGCTCTCTGCTGCTGCACTCGTGCTCTCTGCTGGTGCACTCGTGCTCTCTGCTGGTGCACTCGTGCTCTGTTGCTGCACTCGTGCACTGTTGCTGCACTCGTGCTCTCTGTTGCTGCACTCATGCACTGTTGCTGCACTCGTGCTCTCTGCTGGTGCACTCGTGCTCTCTGCTGGTGCACTCGTGCTCTCTGCTGGTGCACTCGTGCTCTCTGCTGCTGCACTCGTGCACTGTTGCTGCACTCGTGCTCTCTGTTGCTGCACTCGTGCACTGTTGCTGCACTCGTGCTCTCTGTTGCTGCACTCGTGCACTGTTGGTGCACTCGTGCTCTCTGTTGGTGCACTCGTGCTCTCTGTTGGTGCACTCGTGCTCTCTGTTGGTGCACTCGTGTTCTCTGTTGGTGCACTCGTGCTCTCTGTTGGTGCACTCGTGCTCTCTGCTATTGCACTCATGCTCTCTGCTGCTGCACTCGTGCACTGTTGGTGCACTTGTGCTCTCTGTTGCTGCACTCGTGCACTGTTGCTGCACTCGTGCTCTCTGTTGCTGCACTCCTGCTCTCTGCTGGTGCACTCGTGCTCTCTGTTGGTGCACTCGTGCTCTCTGTTGGTGCACTCGTGCTCTCTGTTGGTGAACTCGTGCTCTCTGCTGCTGCACTCATGCTCTCTGCTGCTGCACTCGTGCACTGTTGGTGCACTTGTGCTCTCTGTTGCTGCACTCGTGCACTGTTGCTGCACTCGTGCTCTCTGTTGCTGCACTCGTGCTCTCTGCTGGTGCACTCGTGCTCTCTGCTGGTGCACTCGTGCTCTCTGCTGGTGCACTCGTGCTCTGTTGCTGCACTCGTGCACTGTTGCTGCACTCGTGCTCTCTGTTGCTGCACTCGTGCACTGTTGCTGCACTCGTGCTCTCTGTTGCTGCACTCATGCACTGTTGCTGCACTCGTGCTCTCTGCTGGTGCACTCGTGCTCTCTGCTGGTGCACTCGTGCTCTCTGCTGGTGCACTCGTGCTCTCTGCTGCTGCACTCGTGCACTGTTGCTGCACTCGTGCTCTCTGTTGCTGCACTCGTGCACTGTTGCTGCACTCGTGCTCTCTGTTGCTGCACTCATTCACTGTTGGTGCACTCGTGCTCTCTGTTGGTGCACTCGTGCTCTCTGTTTGTGCACTCGTGCTCTCTGTTGGTGCACTCGTGCTCTCTGCTGCTGCACTCGTGCACTGTTGCTGCACTCGTGCTCTCTGTTGCTGCACTCGTGCACTGTTGCTGCACTCGTGCTCTCTGTTGCTGCACTCATGCACTGTTGGTGCACTCGTGCTCTCTGTTGGTGCACTCGTGCTCTCTGTTGGTGCACTCGTGCTCTCTGGTGCTGCACTCGTGCTCTCTGATGGTGCACGCGTGCTCTCTGGTGCTGCACTCGTGCTCTCTGTTGGTGCACTCGTGCTCTCTGTTGCTGCACTCGTCCACTCTGTTGGTGCACTCGTGCTCTCTGGTGCTGCACTCGTGCTCTCTGTTGCTGCACTCGTGCACTGTTGGGGCACTCGTGCACTGTTGGGGCACTCGTGCACTGTTGGTGCACTCGTGAACACACTCCACACACCTGGCACCCCCAGACACACACCTCAGTGATGGGCGCCAGCGGCAGCTTGTGACTTCCCACATGTTCAGAGAACTATGCACCACTAGACAACCTGGCCTACAAAAAAGTAACATTTCGCTTTGCCCAACCACTTGGGATGGACGGTAGAGCGACGGTCTCGCTTCATGCGGGTCGGCGTTCAATCCCCGACCATCCAGTCGTGGTTGGGCACAATTCCTTTCCCCTCGTCCCATCCCAAATCCTTATCCTGATCCCTTCCGAGTGCTTATATAGTCGTAATGGCTTGGCGCTTTCCCCTGATAGTTCTCTTCCTTTCCCTCGTAGGTGTTACATACGGCCAAAAATGGTCGTACTTGCAAATGGAAGCGGCTGGCGAAAATGACGTTCATTCCCGTTTTTTGTTTTGGGTCCTCTGGTAGGTTAAGAAAGGACACTTTAAATTGACCGTTTTCTTAACGTTGGTAAACCTTATGAGGACAGGCTGGCCTAGAATATTTGCTCGTAATCTTCCATCCCGACTCCTGCTCGTATGGCCCTTATCGCCTTCTCGTATATATGATTCTCGACCTTGACGGTGCCCTGGTGCTTGTCTTAAGCCAGGGGCACCATAACTAACCTCTCCCTGCTTGTCTTAAGTCAGGGCCACTTTAACTACCCTCTCACCCCTTATCTTCAAGCCAGGGAGAAGCAGCTTAGCCACCCACCACTTACCCAAGTGGCCTAAGCATTGTGGTAGACTCTCAGCCAGCCTGTCAATACAAGCCGCGCGCCACGCTCAGTTTGAAATCCGAGAGAATGTGCTGAAATGGAGCTGCTGTAATCTAGAGGGAAGGAAACCCCCTTGAGAGAGAGACCCAGGAGAAGCAGGGAGAACGTAGGAGCAGCTGAGACAACGCCTTATACCACCTTCTCTCTCTCTCTCTCTCTCTCTCTCTCTCTCTCTCTCTCTCTCTCTCTCTCTCTCTCTCTCTCTCTCTCTCTCTCTCTCTCTCTCTCTCTCTCTCTCTCTCTCTCTCTCTCTCTCTCTCTCTCTCTCTCTCTCTCTCTCTCTCTCTCTCTCTCTCTCTCTCTCTCTCTCTCTCTCTCTCTCTCTCCCTCCCTCTCTCTCTCTCTCTCTCTCTCTCTCTCTCTCTCTCTCTCTCTCTCTCTCTCTCTCTCTCTCTCTCTCTCTCTCTCTCTCTCTCTCTCTCTCTCTCTCTCTCTCTCTCTCTCTCTCTCTCTCTCTCTCTCTCTCTCTCTCTCTCTCTCTCTCTCTCTCTCTCTCTCTCTCTCTCTCTCTCTCTCTCTCTCTCTCTCTCTCTCTCTCTCTCTCTCTCTCTCTCTCTCTCTCTCTCTCTCTCTCTCTCTCTCTCTCTCTCTCTCTCTCTCTCTCTCTCTCTCTCTCTCTCTCTCTCTCTCTCTCTCTCTCTCTCTCACTCTCAACAACCAACTCCTAACTAACTAGCAACCAATGGCTGCTATTTGCTTGCTGGAGTACATATACCAGCATCCGGAGGTGAAGATATATAACAATATTACTCTTTGTTTGAGAGAACTAGCATGAGAAAGTCACCTTGCGACCTCTCTCTTACTCCCAAAGGGTCCAGCCATACTCACGTTGGGTCTGGAGCGACTTCAATATTATGGAGTCTCCTCTGGAGAGGAGGCATCGTGCGGGTCGCGGAAGGTCGTAGTGGTGGTGGGGGTAAATCATGGCGGCTGAGTCCTCGCTGTGTCTTAATCAATTCTCCGAGCGAGACGGAGATTAGTCCAAGCCAAGTGAAGGCGTATTTTTGGGGGAGATGAGTCCGTGGCTGGGGTATGTCCCGTAGTGGACGGTGGTGGACGACGGTGGACGACGGTGGATGACGGTGGACGACGGTGGATGACGGTGGACGACGATGGATGACGGTGGATGACGGTGGACGACGGTGGACGACGGTATATAACGGTGGACGACGGTATATAACGGTAGACGACGGTGGACGACGATGGATGACGGTGGATGACGGTGGACGACGGTGGATGACGGTGGACGACGGTGGACGACGGTGGACGACGGTGGACGACGATGGACGGCGGTGGACGACGGTGGACGAGGACGGACGATAGTGGATGACGGTGGACGACGGTGGACGACAGTGGATGACGGTGGACGACGGTGGACGACGGTGGATGACGGTGGACGACGGTGGACGACGGTGGACGACGACGGACAATAGTGGATAACGGTGGACGACGGTGGATGACAGTGGACGACGGTGGATGACGGTGGACGACGGTGGATGACGGTGGACGACGGTGGATGACGGTGGATGACGGTGGACGACGGTGGATGACGGTGGACGACGGTGGATGACGGTGGACGACGGTGGACGACGACGGACGATAGTGGATGACGGTGGACGACGGTGGATGACAGTGGACGACGGTGGATGACGGTGGACGACGGTGGACGACGACGGACGATAGTGGATGACGGTGGACGACAGTGGATGACGGTGGACGACGGTGGACGACGGTGGACGACGGTGGACGACGGTGGACGACGGTGGACGACGACGGACGATAGTGGATGACGGTGGACGACGGTGGATGACGGTGGACGACGGTGGACGACGACGGACGATAGTGGATGACGGTGGACGACGGTGGATGACGGTGGATGACGGTGGATGACAGTGGACGACGGTGGATGACGGTGGACGACGGTGGATGACGGTGGATGACGGTGGACGACGGTAGACGACGACGGACGATAGTGGATGACGGTGGACGACGGTGGATGACGGTGGACGACGGCGGACGACGGTGGATAACGGTGGACGACGGTGGACGACGGTGGACGACGGTGGATGACGACGGACGATAGTGGATGACGGTGGACGACTTCGGACGACGGCGGACGACGGTGGACGACGGTGGACGACGGTGGATGACGGTGGACGACGGCGGACGACGGTGGATGACGGTGGACGACGGTGGATGACGGTGGACGACTTCGGACGACGGCGGACGACGGTGGACGACGGTGGACGACGGTGGATGACGGTGGACGACGGGGGACGACGGTGGATGACGGTGGATGACGGTGGACGACTTCGGACGACGGTGGACGACGGTGGACGACGGTGGACGACGGTGGATGACGGTGGACGACGGCGGACGACGGTGGACGACGGTGGATGACGGTGGACGACTTCGGACGACGGTGGACGACGGTGGACGACGGTGGATGACTTCGGACGACTTCGGACGACGGTGGACGACGGTGGACGACGGTGGATGACGGTGGACGACGGTGGATGACGGTGGACGACGGTGGACGACGGTGGACGACGGTGGACGACGGTGGATGACGGTGGACGACGGTGGACGACGGCGGACGACGGTGGACGACGGTGGACGACGGCGGACGACGGTGGATGACGGTGGACGACTTCGGACGACGGTGGACGACGGTGGACGACGGTGGATGACGGTGGATGACGGTGGACGACGGTGGACGACGGTGGACGACGGTGGACGACGATGGACGACGGTGGACGACGGTGGACGACAGTGGATGACGGTGGACGACTTCGGACGACGGTGGACGACGGTGGACGACGGTGGATGACGGTGGACGACGGTGGACGACGGTGGATGACGGTGGACGACGGTGGACGACGGTGGACGACGGTGGACGACAGTGGATGACGGTGGACGACGGTGGACGACGGTGGACGACGGTGGACGACGGTGGACGACGGTGGACGACGGTGGATGACGGTGGACGACGGTGGACGACGGTGGACGACGGTGGATGACGGTGGACGACGGTGGACGACGGTGGACGACGGTGGACGACGGTGGATGACGGTGGAAGACTTCGGACGACGGTGGACGACGGTGGATGACGGTGGACGACGGTGGATGACGGTGGACGACGGTGGACGACGGTGGACGACGGTGGACGACGGTGGATGACGGTGGACGACGGTGGATGACGGTGGACGACTTCGGACGACGGTGGACGACGGTGGATGACGGCGGACGACGGTGGACGACGGTGGACGACGGTGGATGACGGTGGACGACGGTGGAAGGCGGTGGACGACGAGGGACGACGGTGGACGACGATGGACGACGGTGGAAGGCGGTGGACGACGGGGGGACGACGGGGGACGACGGTGGACGGCGGTGGACGACGGGGGACGACGGTGGACGGCTGTGGACGACGGGGGACGACTGGAGACGACGGTGGACGGCGGTGGACGACGGGGGACGACGGTGGACGACGGTGGACGGCTGTGGACGACGGGGGACGACGGGAGACGACGGTGGACGACGGGGGACGACGGGGGAACCTTAGGGTTCCCACGAACATCACCACTTGACTGACAGCTCGACACTGGTATCTGCTGCATGACCAAAAACCTGGTGATGCAGTGCTTCACGCACCTGGTGAAGCAGTGCTGCACGTACCTGGTGATGCAGTGCTTCACGCACCTGGTGAAGCAGTGCTGCACGTACCTGGTGATGCAGTGCTTCACGCACCTGGTGAAGCAGTGCTGCACGTACCTGGTGAAGCAGTGCTGCACGTACCTGGTGATGCAGTGCTTCACGCACCTGGTGAAACAGTGCTGCACGTACCTGGTGATGCAGTGCTGCACGTACCTGGTGATGCAGTGCTTCACGCACCTGGTGATGCAGTGCTGCACGTACCTGGTGATGCAGAGCTTCACGCACCTGGTGATGCAGTGCTGCACGTACCTGGTGATGCAGTGCTTCACGCACCTGGTGATGCAGAGCTTCACGTACCTGGTGATGCAGTGCTTCACGCACCTGGTGAAGCAGTGCTGCACGTACCTGGTGATGCAGTGCTTCACGCACCTGGTGATGCAGTGCTTCACGTACCTGGTGAGGCAGTGCTTCACGCACCTGGTTATGCAGTGCTTCACGCACCTGGTGATGCAGTGCTTCACGCACCTGGTGAGGCAGTGCTTCACGTACCTGGTGATGCAGTGCTGCACGTACCTGGTGATGCAGTGCTTCACGCACCTGGTGATGCAGTGCTGCACGTACCTGGTGATGCAGAGCTTCACGCACCTGGTGATGCAGTGCTGCACGTACCTGGTGATGCAGTGCTTCACGCACCTGGTGATGCAGTGCTGCACGTACCTGGTGATGCAGTGCTTCACGCACCTGGTGATGCAGTGCTTCACGTACCTGGTGATGCAGTGCTTCACGCACCTGGTGAAGCAGTGCTGCACGTACCTGGTGATGCAGTGCTTCACGCACCTGGTGATGCAGTGCTTCACGTACCTGGTGATGCAGTGCTTCACGCACCTGGTTATGCAGTGCTTCACGCACCTGGTGATGCAGTGCTTCACGCACCTGGTGATGCAGTGCTTCACGTACCTGGTGATGCAGTGCTTCACGCACCTGGTGATGCAGTGCTTCACGCACCTGGTGAGGCAGTGCTTCACGCACCTGGTGATGCAGTGCTTCACGCACCTGGTGATGCAGTGCTTCACGCACCTGGTGATGCAGTGCTTCACGCACCAGGTGATGCAGTGCTTCACGCACCTGGTGATGCAGTGCTTCACGTACCTGGTGATGCAGTGCTTCACGCACCTGGTGATGCAGTGCTTCACGCACCTGGTGATGCAGTGCTTCACGCACCTGGTGATGCAGTGCTTCACGCACCTGGTGATGCAGTGCTTCACGCACCTGGTGATGCAGTGCTTCACGCACCTGGTGATGCAGTGCTTCACGCACCTGGTGATGCAGTGCTTCACGCACCTGGTGATGCAGTGCTTCACGTACCTGGTGATGCAGTGCTTCACGCACCTGGTGATGAGTCTTCACGCACCTCGCGATGCAGTGCTTCACGCACCTGGTGATGCAGTGCTTCACGCACCAGGTGATGCAGTGCTTCACGCACCTGGTGAAGCACTGCTGCACGCACCTGGTGATGCAGTGCTTCACGCACCTGGTGAAGCAGTGCTTCACGCAGCTGGTGATGCAGTGCTTCACGCACCTGGTGATGCAGTGCTTCACGCAACTGGTGATGCAGTGCTTCACGCACCTGGTGATGCAGTGCTTCACGCACCTGGTGATGCAGTGCTTCACGTACCTGGTGATGCAGTGCTTCACGCACCTGGTGATGCAGTGCTTCACGCACCTGGTGATGCAGTGCTTCACGCACCAGGTGATGCAGTGCTTCACGCACCTGGTGATGCAGTGCTTCACGCACCTGGTGATGCAGTGCTTCACGCACCTGGTGATGCAGTGCTTCACGCACCTGGTGATGCAGTGCTTCACGCACCTGGTGATGCAGTGCTTCACGCACCTGGTGATGCAGTGCTTCACGCACCTGGTGGTGCAGTGCTTCACGCACCTGGTGATGCAGTGCTTCACGCACCTGGTGATGCAGTGCTTCACGCACCTGGTGATGCAGTGCTTCACGCACCTGATGATGCAGTGCTGCACGTACCTGGTGATGCAGTGCTTCACGCACCTGGTGATGCAGTGCTTCAAGCACCTGGTGATGCAGTGCTTCACGCACCTGGTGAAGCAGTGCTGCACGTACCTGGTGAAGCCGTGCTGCACGTACCTGGTGATGCAGTGCTTCACGCACCTGATGATGCAGTGCTTCACGCACCTGGTGAAGCAGTGCTGCACGTACCTGGTGATGCAGTGCTGCACGTACCTGGTGATGCAGTGCTTCACGCACGACCATTCTCATGTTTGATCAATACATTAAGCCCCTCTCCCTCAGAATGATATATCTGCAGGTATTCTCATCTCGTAATTCCTCATTTATCATCTTATCGCTCCTACACTAACAACCATTCTGCCTCAGCTTCTCTCACTCGCCTATTATACTCGCTGCTGCTCCTGCTCCTACTCCTCAAGCTGCTCCTGCTCCTGCTGCTCCTCAAGCTGCTGCTGCTGCTGCTGCTGCCTCTTTGATGTGTCCCCTATCCCTTATTTGCCTGTCGTGGTAAGTTTACCGTTTCATATGTGGAATACTCTACTTGGCGTAGAGTATTGCGTACCAAGGTGGGTTTACTGTCATCAGATATTTATAGTACATGATATAGGGCGTTGTAGAGAAATGGTGTACTCAAATGGCCAATTCATCACTTCAAGAATCATCAGCTAAATATTGTATTCTTGGCCCAAGGTGAGTGGTTGGCATCGGCAGTGTTGGTACCCCTGTAATTACACTCACAAACACTCAGCAACAATCACTAAAACAATTACTTCATGACAGTCGCGATTAATAAAAAAGTTACTCAAAAACAATCTCTCTAAACACAATTACCTAACAATTACCCAACAAATTTACTCAACAACAATTACTCAAGAAAACAGTTACCCAAAAACAATTCTCAAATACAATTACTAAACAATTACCCCAGAAATTTACTCGATAACAATTGCAATACAATTACGTAAAAAAAAGTTGGTAAAAGAAATTATCAATAAAACAATTGTTAATTAACAATTAGAAAGTCACAGAAGCATCCGAAGACAACATTAGAGCAGACATTGTAGTCGCGGTCTTTATAAAGATATGGGAACAGTCTTAACATGGATATTAACAGTATCATATTAAATTAACATGGAATTCAATGTGCCATGTTACCTTAACATAGAACGTAATAGTACCATGTTAACTTAAATATGGAACGGTAAGCAAAGCGCGGCGAAGAACATTCATTTATTTTGAACAACTTGTTTCCAAAAAGTAGTAGAAGAAAACAAACAAATTCCTGTTTACAGTGCATTAAACAGCTCAATATCACATGTTGTTTACCTGTAGCCTGGTTTTGAGAATTCCCCAAGCCCCTGGTTTGTTTGGTGATAATTTGATTGGTTAGGCTGTTGTTTGCATCCATTACAACCTAGCCTATCTAGATCTAGCGGAGCCTATCCCCACCCCCACCCCCAACACATAAATTTTCGCGAAGTCAGAAATGATATTGTGAAATGAAATCGGGGATGTGAGAAACGTTGAGTTTACCGTGAATTCTTTGATGAGTTGCTGGAGCTAGAAGATATAATTACATTGAGGAAGACAAGATAGATGGTTGGATAGTGAGATGCGTGAATAGAAAGTTAGATGCACAGATTGAGGGACAGCTGATTGGATAGACGAATAGGTGAATAGATATATAGATGGACGGTTATTGATAGATGGATGAATTGATAGATATAATAGATGGATAGTTAGGTAGAATAGATGGATGAATGACTAGTTAGATGGATAGATAGATAGGTAGATAGATAGATAAATCAACTGGAGTAGGACCCAAAAACGCTGGGTACCCCTGTAATATATACATATATATATTATACATATATATATATATATATATATATATATATATATATATATATATATATATATATATATATATATATATGACAAATGTCAGACTACGGAGGAAAAATGAAACAGGAAATTTCCTTAAGTACTTTCGTATATTAAATACATCTTCAGAAGGTCATTTTACAGATCGAGTGATGGGTATAAATAGGCAGGAAGGAGTGGTGAAGTAAGGTGAGGTACAATACTTGGACAACGCAGACGGCCCATAAGCCCATCAGATGCACCCAATTGGCACATCCGATGATATTGTTAATAGAAACGTTATCCCTACAGACAAAAATCAGAGGATACAACTGACGATTTACTATAAAACCAGAAAAACGGCCAGCCTACTCATGAGAAACTCCAGACACAAAACAGAACGCTTTAAAAGAGACTAACGTCGTCTATGCCTTCAAATGCCCACTTGGGGACTGTAAGCTCCAAAAAACCCAGTATATAGGCAAGACAACAACATCTCTTTCTAGGCGTTTAACGATGCATAAGCAACAGGGCTCCATTAAGGAACATATAATCTCTTCCCATAACCAAACCATCGCCAGAGAAATCCTAGTAAACAACACAGAAATCATCGATAGATACAGCGATAGCAGGCGGCTTGACGTTTGCGAGGCACTACACATCAAGAAGTCAACACCAGCAATCAACAGCCAATTATTGCACAACTATATTCTACCCACCTCAAGACTCCGCTCCAATATAGAAGCATCAAGAAATATGGACCAATAGGCTTTCTACAAACACTTCTATTCAATACCCATTGTTTCTGTTCTGTCTTGTGTTGATACTTTTAATACCCTATTAATATCCCATCTTGTTCTGTCTTGTGTTAATGCCACATCACCCCTCCCACCTCACTCAAATGTAGATATAAAATCAGAGATACGTAAGTTCTAATCAGTTGTGTATTTGTGAAGTCTTTGAAAATGTAATAAGTTTTACGAAACGCGCCCGTGTCGCGTCAGACTAGAAATAAAAATGAATTTTGGAGAAGTGATTTTTGATTTACCTCCAACAGTGAAG